ACGCAGAAGCACGTACGGTGGGTTGTGACCGTCGCTTTACTCGCTACACCCCTGCCCATCTTGGCACTTGATAGATGGCCTACATATGGTTTTCTGGTACCAAATAGCTGGGCTAGGGGTTCTTGGAACAGTGTAACAGTGTAGACAGGAACTTCCTTGTACATTCATGTTTAGCATATTTTCAGCTACTTCCTGAGGATGTAGCTGAAAATATGCTGAACATGAATGTACAAGGATTTCTAGATGTGAACTGCATACTACTAGACGTAGGTGCTTTTTTTATTATTTTGATTTGACTTTAGTTATTGTAATAGTCTAACTGTTTTTCACAACTGTTTCCTTGACAAGCAAGTCTTATCAATACAGCATTTGTCTTTGTGAAAGCTGGTCTGTTTGTGTTGCATTCCTCTAGTCCCTTAGGTACAGGCAGGAAAGCAGAAAGGGTGACACTGGTGAATCAATTAGCCCACCCACCCAAAAGGCAGACAAGTGTGCTTCTAATCAAAAAGTTTAATTACCTCCATGAAAAATGGAGGTATTGTTTTATGCAAATTAGTTTTATGCAAATGAATTTTAGTACCACACTTTTTGGTTAGTACCACACTTTTCTGCACAGAAAACAAGAGTTCCACGATCTCATACCTTCGCCAAATGATGTTAACCCTTGCGGGTGACGAATTATACAATTTTAATCATTGATATTGTAAATAAGAGCCTCATTTGCATGGATTATATCAGTTGATCATATTCTCCATCCAATGACAGCCTTATCATAACAAAAAGGCTATCATAGCACTTCCTCATAAATTATGCATATGAGGTCATGATTTGACTAAATTATGTTTATTGATGTTCACCTTCACTTAACTTCCAAATGTGGCAATTATGAAATTCGGGGTGCAGCAGTTACAACTATTGAATTATAAGAATTCGCCATTAATTATGCACATTAGGTCTTCATTTACATAATCTATATCCTCAGATGTTTTCTCGTTCTCAAGTAGATGTCACATGTGTTTCATAGTTCTATTATCGAACAAAGCAGATTTAAAGAATTTCCTCATTAATTATGCAAATTAGCTCCTGATTTGCATAATCGCCATCTGATTATGTCAAGCATCACTTCAACTACTTATATACCAAAAATCACGACAGTACGTCAACCGGTTCTTGAGTTATCGTCCTTTAATTTTTTTTCAACAAATGCTCCTGCAGTTCCAGAACAAGTCGCTAGGGGAACCAAACTCATGTCACTTCTTTCCTACCCCAAGAGCTACCTGCCAACCAAAATTCGTGACCCTAGCATGTCCAGAACATGAGATATCAAAACCGGAAGTTCAGCTGCAGTACCTAGGAAAGCCGCCGGGGGGGGCAAAATCTTATCATTTCTAGGTCTCATGAAGACCTACCTACCTACCAAGTTTTATTCCAATCCATCCATTGCTTCTCGAGTTACTAAGTATCTTGCTAAACCACACACAAACACACACACACAGACAAACGCTACTGAAAACATAACCTTCTTGGCGAAGGTAATGAGGGGCTCTCATTGTCTAAAGGGGTAGTGGCCTTGTTCTAATTGATTATTAGCTCGTGTGCTGACCGTCTTCGCGGAGTCAGCTAGACATATTTCCCTCTCGTTTAATACGTCCCCCCGGGGCCCAAAACAATGCGTCCTTGCATGCGGAACCTTACGAGATACATACGTTGACAGATAGAGTTTGATAAGCTAACGGTACATTTTTGTTGTGTTTACAAGTTCTATTAGGAGTATAAAATGTTAGTATCGTATACATGAAGTTACTGATGCATCAAGTTATGGGATCAAAAGTTCTTGCTCTCCTCGTACGCCAATTGTATAGAGCTTATTCACCACACGTCATCATGACGTCACCACCCCTCATGTCCCGTGCGACGCCATTTTGGGGTCCACCTCTACAGTGAGTTTCCAAGCGTTGAAATGGCCGACAAACGTTAGGTAAACTGTCCTTTGTCCTATTACACGAAGACTTTACCACCACTCATACCTCTCGTTACTGGAACAAAATAAAATCTGTTGGGATTGACCCGTTTTTGTTGAGTTTTGATCAGTCTGATCGAGACGGCGTCTACCGCCAGCGGAGTCCATTGACGCGACTAAGCTTCGTATTTGGTACTCACGGGGCAGAAGTTTTTACACACAGGATCGGTTCAAACCCTTTAAGAGTCTGAAAGCGTTTGATTTGATTTGATTGTTGTATCAGGATGTGTAGAGAGTGTTGTGTGACGTGCAGTTTCGTGGTGAAGTACGTTGTAGACTGTCGGGATACGCAAAGGTCGCTATTTTGGAACAGCCCCGGACTGTGTCTGGATAATAACAAACAAATGCGGGGCCATCGGCCGCCGACCGGCCGCCATCCACAGTCCGCACTGCCGCGACTGTGGCTGAACAAGGTGAGTGTTACAAGTTGCCAGGGCCCTGTTCTACGTGGACATTTACCACAGAGTAAAAGGACAGGTAGCTCCAACAGATACGTGGCCATGGCTACCCACGTTGACATCTACAGGCCCCTACGCCAGGGTAAAACACTCCGATTTCTGATCAGCAAAAAAAGCCGATAAAAGCCGATCTTGAGAACATGAGACGTGGTCATGGAGCCAGAACAACCCCAAGGACAATGTTACGAACAAGAAGAGTGTTCAAAACGTAGATTGTGGCCCAAAACACGCAACTATCGCCAAGAGTTTGCATAGCGTACCATAGCGATAGGCACCAGGCTGCACCCCCTAATGGCGGACAATGCTCGCTGCCGGGGGAAGAGTCACGTGACCATCTGTGGTGAATAAGCCCTATACATACATTGCATACATGACAATCCACAGCTATCTGGAAAACAGGACACAGATGGTAAAATGAGCATCATGTTTGTCAAAACCCCACAAAGTTTAGCCGGTGTCCCTCAAGGCGGGTTGCTCTCAACGCTACTGTTCGTGATATGCATTAATTCTCTGGATGCCAGTTTGCCAGCATCTGTCGCCCCTGTCATATATGCTGATGACTTGACAACTTCTGAGGTACTGATGGGTTCTTTACCCGGCCAGACTCAAAAGGCACTGAACTCTATTGATGACGGGGGAAGTTCTTTCTCTCTTGCCGCAAACGGGAAGAAAACCAAAGACATGGTTATAGGTGCACGGAAAGAGCCCAATGTACCTTACCCCGCCACACCCCGCACCCACCCCCCAACCCACAATATCAGGCCAGGTGATCCAAAGAGTCACCTCCTTCAAACTACTCGGGGTCCATATCTCTGCTGACCTGACGTGGGACGCCCACATTGAGTACATGATGAACAGAGCTCGACCTAGAATGTATTATCTTAGTGTTGCTAAGAAGGCGGGTCTCTCGATAGATGTCCTAATGCAGATCTACCTGACATTCATAAGACCTATTCTTGAATATGCTAGCCCGGTTTGGGGCGGACTGCCCAAACACCTGTCAGATCCAGAAGCATTGCGTCAGGATCATCGGGCTGCCTGCCGTGTCTCTACTTGTGTACTGTGCCATTGTTTTGAGTTTATGGTCTAAAAGAGTGCTAAGTCAAAAACTAAACGGCTGTATGAACGCGTGTTTTTATTGGTGAGAATTTCCCCTTTAGCCATCCCAACTGATGTAAAACGTCAAAGCGGTGGAAGCTTGTTTGTAACTGATGAAATTAGGACATAATTGTCGGCAGCCGCGCGCTAGGTCGGACGTACACAGTCCAGTGTTGTGAGTTGTGCGGTCGTAGGTTTGCAGCGCGGGAGGGCCTCTTGCGGGCAGCCGCTAGGTGCAGTTTGTTATTCCTATAAAAGGGGATTGTGTGTATAGAAGTCGTTGGCAATTTTTTATGAGACGTAGAGTAAGTGTGCTCAACATAGCATGAAATATATCAATTGATTTAATGTAGGATCATAGGAAACACGGTCTCGTAAGTCACTCATTAATGCATGGTTTCTAATGTATGGAAAAAAACTCATGAATGAGACCTTATTTCGACCTCGACACGACACTATCGCCACATCAACACGCCAAATGTGCCGCGAAAAAAACACCGCATGGAATGATGGGATACTGCTACCCACGCAGTTTACTTCCCTGAACGCCAATGCGAAAGACCCCGTCAACTGTTGCAAATTTCTATGTAATCTACCGGACATCGTAAGCTAAAAAGTTCATTGTTGCATTAGTTACGATAATTTTCGTGCCGGAGTTTCTGACATTTATGAAGGCAACAACAAAGTGTGATCCTTTGTGTTATCGACGACTTTCATGACGATCATGTGCATAATTTATGTCAGTACGCTACTTGATTGAAGTTTTCCGTTGATCAAACTTTATTTTTTGCTACTTTCGTGATGTAAAAGAACAGGCTGATGATTGTGCATGTATTCGTGGCTTGTTTTGTACGTAGCAAACGTAGCATTGTTTATTCGTTCCAGTTGAGCCTGCCGAGAGCACATGATAGCTAACGTATATTGGCTAACGTGTTCTTCCAGTCTTGGAAAAAAATACGTAAACGAAAAAAAAACTACAAGCAAATTTACCGATCTTAATAAAGTTCACTGTATTTAATGCGTAAATATGACTCGTGTCTGTATTCTTTGTGTCGTTATTTGTGTTCGATGCCCTGTCCTCCCCCCCAGCCCCATACTTTCAATGAAGTCCGAGAGTTTGAGCCTCAGAGTCTCTTAATCGGAAAGGCCGGGCAATTGAAAAAAAAATGCGCTGACAAATTAGCTTTTCAAATAAGCGGCTTCCACCGTAGTCCTGTTTTTCACAACTGTTTCCTTGACAAGTCTTATCAGCATTTGTCTTTGTGAAAGCTGGTCTGTTTGTGTTGCATTCCTCTAGTCCCTTAGGTACAGAGGCAGGAAGGGTGACACTGGTGAATCAATTATCCACCCACCCAAAAGACAGACAAGCGTGCTTCTAATCAAAAAGTGTGGTGCTAACAAAAAAAGTGTTGATTATCAGCTCGTGTGCTGACCGTCTTCACGGAGTCAGCTAAACATATTTCCTTCTCGTTACACTTCCTTTCTTCACAGAACAGGTGACTACTTCTGCGCATGCCAACTTCACGCGAACACGGCACGTCTACATATTAGTACGACAGGGCAGATTTCTTTCAAGTTCTTCCAAGAAAACAGGATGGATGTGGTCACGATGGACATGTAGCGGCTTGACTTAGAAGCTATAAAAGCGTTTGACTTTAGCCACGCCGGCAGATTGCGAGGAGAAGACGACTCGTGGCTCCAGATCAAGACACCGTCTTCACGCCACCGACGGACACTTTAGAGGCAGAGCCTTCATCTTGACCAACAAACTGCAAGGTGAGATACGGAGACCGTCATGTTACATTGTACAGTTTGGTTGTAATTTGTAAAAAAAAAACAATGATATTAACAATAATTTAGCATAGCTCTTAGGATTTTGATTTAGAAAGTTTTTTGCAGGTCAAGTTCTAAACCTCAATCATGTGAGGAGTGAACTCCCTACTCTCTAGGCATTTACATGTGTAAGCAAGACAAAACAAGTCCATCTTTCCTTTGGAAACAATTTACTGGGAAATGGCGTCGCTCCTGGCTGCCGAACAAGGTAGCACCTAGCCTCATTCGCTGACTTATGGGGTGGGGGCGTTAATTTTTTTGGAGAAAGGGTTTCGCCACCTATAACGCCCCACACCGAGATTGTCACTGCGCCTGAAATCGACTGGCTAACTAGTCTGGGTACCATCCGGATTTTCGCTCCGCCACGCTCGAAAATTTTGGCTAATCCTTACACTTTGTTTTAGTCCGTGAATCCGTTTTCAATCGAAACATTTCCACGAATGTATCTGTTGGCGTTTGTAAGGTCACCTCGCAATCTTTAAATCTCACAGCTGGCTGCGTTCTTCATCGACACATGAGCCGAGTGATTCACCGCTAGGAGTTTTCGTTTTTCTTTTTCGTTTTCGAGTTCGCTTTGCCTGGTTTACACAAAAAACACTTAAAGTGTCACTAGTGGGGGAGAATCATCAACAAATGCAATTTTTTCCGTTTCCCATGGGTGCTTTTTGGTGCATTTGGGGTTTTCTGATGCACAAGATGTATAATATCACCAATCAATCGAGTTTGTAGAAAAGCACTTTAGTTTGGTGAAGTTTGAGCACCATTTTTGAAGCAAATGTTTGCATAAATGTTTATGACACAATGTAAGAAGTTGTACATAAGTTACAAAAGTCAGATAGCCTCATACACTACTTGAGTCCTTTGATAATTCAAAGAACCAAAAATTACTGGTCAAATTGTTGCCATTGCTGCACTTTTAAAGGAAACATGACAAGACTATATGCCTGGTGCTGACAGTCAGCCATCTGGGACACGTGTTGTGGAATGTGTATTGCAAAGGATGATGGGATAGTATCATCTCCCCCCCCTGAAGTGTCACAAAACATCTTCCTCTGCCACCGCCCGCGCGGTGGTGTTTTGAGTGCTGTTTACACACACCAGCGCAAATCGTTTTCCAAAACGCTGTAATGACCTTATGTAACCCGAATGCTCAGTCACGTGACTGGGTGATGCAATATGGAACGCCGTAACTGATATTTCCGGAAAAAGTAGCGGCACCCGAAGAAAGCCGATTGTGGATAGGATTATTCCAGTCACAAGACAGACCTTTTTCAAAAGTTGTATTGTGTTTGTGGAGAAATGGCGGGGAAGGAGGCCATTCTAGTCACCTTACTCCAACAGATCCTGCTTTTCTTCTATCTGACTCGAGTCCAATCCAACATGATGCGTCAGGCAAGGCGCCGAAGGCGCGTCCGGCGTCGCAGGCAACAATACCGTCCTTTTCAACGGGCGACCGTTTTGGGCGGCCTGGTTCTAGTCCAAACGCAGGGTGTCGACCGCTCAATCTGACCTACCTCACCCAGCGAAACATTTTCGAAAACGCAATCCTGTTTACACCCAAAACGCCGCTTTCATAGAGCTGTTTCAAACGCACTTTGAAGTTGTTTTGAAACACTTCGCAAGAAAAGCGTTTTAGAACACTTTAAAATTCCTGTTTACACGGGGGATAGAAGCGTTTTCGAAAACGTTTCCAAAAACGCTATTTTTTGTGTGTAAACCAGGCTTTAGACCGATTCATGTCCAATGTACGTATGTAGGAACAACATATTGCATTTATTATTATTTTGAAAGTCAAGTTTGAGATGGTGATGATTGACTTCGATGTCATCACCTAGTCGGCTTGCTGCAGAGGTGTTTAGCAATTCAACTGTTAGTTAAGAGCTTTATGTTGTAATTGTTTGTGCTTATATTTGTGTTCCGTAACCAAACTTAAGCAAGTCATGATTTATTATGTATTTGCGCTTAACCTCCCAACCCATGCTACAAATCTTACATTAACGTTAGGGAAGGTTCGATCTGCTATCTAAAACTGACCAAGATCCACGCATTCGAAAGATCCAGGCATTCTTAAGGGTTTATGCACGCAAATGTTGATAGCATTGTGGCTGGCACCAAGGTTGAGGAGATTAGCCATTTCAAAATTTTACTACCAGCCATCTTGACAGGATGTTTGCATAATTAATGACTTTCTAGCCCTGGCCCTGTCATCATGGCACATTCTTTGCGCCCTGATGCCTTTGTCATAATTGGTGACATTTATTATTAGGCCATGTTGATTTGATTATATGGATGACATCCTCCGGGAGCGCCAAAACTGATGCGCGCGTGCGAATAAAAAAAAAGTTTTGCAAAAAAAAAAAAGGTTCTTTTCATTATGAAATCTACGTGGTCATGAGGGTTGAGCAAATGGCACAGAATATGGTTTGGCGAAAAATCTAGTCTTCAAGTTCATTTCTTTACAATTTCGTCTTTTTTCGTTTGATTTTGGCATTATACGACATTGGTATAGTTCTTATTAATTTTTTGTAACTTATGGTATATTTTTGCTCATTTTGCAACTGTTTTGTACGATTAACAGTATGGCTGAAACCTTTTTTTTCTTTTGGAAACGGCCGAAAATTCATGCGCGCGCGGATGTCATCCATATAATCAAATCAACATGGCCTTACGCAAAAATTAAGAATGGTGGCACCAGTTAACCAACCGGTGCTGAACTGTACTTAGCAGTTACTGGTAACCTTCATCAGACCATTACTGAGCCCACTTGTGATTTAGATTAATACGAACTGTCCCGTTTCTTCAGAGACACCAAAGGTTTTAGTTGTTATTCGTCAGTACTTTTTGTGTGATATTAACATATTGCTACATGGGGAGGGGGACGGCGTGCATTTAATTCTTATCTATTTTCTTTAAATAAGATATTGGTTCAGTTTCATGTTAAATGTCAAGTGAGACTGTTCAAATACATGTACTTGTCCTTGATTTGATTGATTTATATATTGTTTTTGTTCAATAAAGAATAAAAATTGCTAGAGATGAGCATGTCGGCTGCTGATACTGTAGAAAGTCCGACACAAACTTTGCAACATGTCTATTACTTCAGGTTTAGTACAAACCATATCGGCATACGAACTTCATTGTCTTTTGTCACATTTTGTTGCACTTTTGTACATTATACAACCTTCGATCTACCATTATATATATATGTGTGTGTGTGTGTGTGTGTGTGTGTGTGTGTGTGTGTGTGTGTGTGTGTGTGTGTGTGTGTGTGTGTACAGAGAGAAAGCGAGAGATACTGCACTGCATTCGTAGCGATACTGCACACAAAATTAAACACTGTATATAATTATATTATATACATTAATTTTGTGTGAAGTACCACTACGAATACAAAGACATAACTTACAAGTGACCCGCTGAATTTTTGTCTTAAATACAGAGTCGCTGGACAGGACAAAGATGACCCGTCACTTTGAGTTTGTCCTGGCTCTGGCACTCCTGGCTGGAGCCGTGTATCCAGGTAAACATTTCCATAATATCAACGGAAACAATGAAAGACAGGGTTTCCGTTTGGATCTAACATTTTAACATTATAAAAACGTGAAATGTGTAGTTTTCGGATGGAAGTCAAATGATGGATCGGACTAAATTTATCTCTCAACTTTTACCACAAGCCAAGAGCATGGCACAACAGCCGGAAGAGGAACAACAACTGAATAAAGATGCCTCACCTGATATTGAGGAAGCGGAGATGTTACTTAAAGAGCTGGAAGGTAGAGGGACGTTTGCCTTCAGTGGGTTCGATACCAATATTGCATTCTCATGTATTATCTCTAGAAATCAGCTTGTACAATTGTACTATAATCTCATATCATGAAAGCAACTGATGCCAAACTTAACAAATATATATACATATAATAAGAAAAAAGGAGAAAGTCACAATTGCTGTCTATCAGTTTTAAACCGAAAAAGGTGATTTTATAGACAGAAATGGAAGATATTTTTATCGAACCTTTCTTTTTTGCTTGACTAGCTCTTATGTTAAAGAGGAAACAAACTGTGTCATAATTTGTGTACTTTAGTAGAGCTTGCTATTTAACTTAATCGTTTCGTTGTTTGCCTTACATGTTTACAATTGCATACAATTGTACATAGTATTTCATTTTGTGGACACAGATTTGGTTAAGAAAGAAGTGATGGCCGGCAACAACAGTATTGATGATCACATGGCGGGACTTTTCGGCAAAAGGACGTGGTCACCTGGTAAGCATGAATTTTATGATTATTAACATATTATGACTTTTGGTTTCGTAAAGCCTTGTTAGGTTTTCTTTAAGTATAGGTTCTAAAATGCCTGCCATGCAAACAATGCAACCACAGACACACACAGTCTTTTTCTCCCAGAGAAAGAGAGACAGAATGATGTATTTGTGCTTGATTTAATTTGATTTATAAAACTGTATAAACAAATACAAAGCCAGGACTGCCCAACTATCCGGAGGCTATTTAAAAGGGCTAGCCCTCATAACAGTTAATTAGAAACAATTAACAATGTCGGTAACGATTCAGATACATTAACATACTATTAGGTAATAGATGACTCATTCTAACTATGGAGGCGGTCTGTTCTATTAGGCTCATTCAGATTAAAATGTACAAAATGGTGATTTTTAGGGTTGAAAAATCGATGGTTAGTTTTTTCAGGCAAACTTCCTTATATTTTTAGGGAAACACCTCCGTTAATGATTGCCGAAACATGACAGCTTAATTGTCATAGGAATTTACCAAAAATGTATAGACTTTAATAAGGTATATTAAAACAATGAATTTTTTACGCCAAAAAGCAGTTACTCAAGTAACTGGATATGATTTTGGAAACGGTCAGACGATTCAGCTAGCTTTCGTCAGTGACTGAGAGACCAGAGGAGAAATGCGGGTTTGTAAGCACAAACTAGAAGTTGAAGACAATTTCTTTTTGCACTTCCAAAAAATTGTCTTCAACTTATTTGCATATCAATCAACAGTTTGTGTTTATAAACCTGCATTTCTCCTCTGGTCTTTCAGTCACTTACGAAAGCTAGTGAATACTAGTTGAAACGCCTAACCGTTTCCAAAATCATATCCAGTTGCTTGAGTAACTGCTTCTTAGCGTATCTTATTACCTGGATGTCTAACCTTCATCGACTAATTTCGACAACACTGAAACATCAGAATGAAACGGGTATATGATAAAGCTTGTATTCATTATATCACATCAAAAGCCATTAGTTTAGGCGTCAGTATACATGGAAGTACTTCTGTAGTACATTATATACTGGCACATACATGTACACACGTATCGAACACATGAAGATAGTGAAGTGTATTTAACTTTGGAAGCAAAATCTCAAAGAAGGGTAGAACATTGGAGTCTGATGACGACATTGAGGGTTATTTTCCTTTCGATGCATATGTTTTCTACCTTATTTCTATTGATTATGTCTATGGTGTACAGGAAAAGGAAATTTGATCCCTTGTTATGTCTTTTCCGCTACAGTTAACTTCCGTGACCCAAACGTAGCATTAGGAAGATCTACGTATCAGCACGATGGTCAAAAAGGCCATCAAAAATCCTCACTTGGAAATCATTAATATTAATGAGAAATCGGTGTCAATCAGTCATTTCACTATTGGCAACAATAGCTGATTGGTTCACGCTTTAGCGGGCGGGGCCTTGGCAAGTTTTGGTGATACTTCGAGTCGCTGTTTTTTCCCCGCGATCTTGTCCTTTCATATGCGCGCCTTTCCCCGCCCCTATTGTTCTTTTATTCACACAATTAACAATGCCCCAACACACATTCAAGCCATGTTTAATTTCCTTATGCCACCAACAATAATTCGCAACTGTGCTACAATTTGTCTTATTTCGTAATTCAACACACTAAAAAAAATCCACAGATATTAAAGTTCCCCGGGTCTAATCGGCCTTGATCGCGCTACTGCATACTTCAGACGGCACGGAACGCGCCGGCATCGGCTGCATGACAGAACATCTAGAATATGTCTAAAAAATTCCAGACTCGAGTGATTAATCAAGAACATCTACCAAAAACACAAAAACACACTACATACGATTCAGATACATTCTTATACATGTATTCTTGTTGTACCTGTTACTAAACGAGGTTTACGGCGCGGAAACAGCACAGAAGCCATGATTGTTTGGCCGGCGTGCCGAGTACTTCGTCTAATACGGGGAATACATCGTAACGTTCTGGAGTCAAATGATAGACCGTACTAAAAACATAACCGTACTAAGAAGGTTTTAGAAATAGTAGAAGTATGATAGTAAATCTTTGTAGAAGAAAGTCGGCTGAAGCTAGAGTTTTTTCACAACATATCTGGATTAGACCGGTTCCCTCCTTTTTCCTTTGTTTACAAACCGACGCCATTTTGTGTCACCGTTTATAAACCTACAGCCCCTTTTTTTAATTCGTGTAGCTAAGGAGGTTATCCACCTACCTGCATTTCAAATCCCAAATAACACATTCAAGGCAATGTTCAGCGTTCTATCTCTAGCAACCCTTTTTGTCGATCACTGTCGATGCTATGTTTCAGCATGGAGGTAGAAAAAAAAACCTCCATGGTTTCAGTTACTCGCGCGTGCCGACACAAAGCTTTTGTGATTTTTGTCCAAATTATTTCTTCAAACCATGGAGCTTCAGGTTCCAACCGACGACTTCGACACGGTTGCACGACGGAACGGATGGGGATAGTTTTAGATTTACCATATGATGTCGCCCAAATAAGCCAAGAGGCTTAAAAAAACATACGGTTGGGAAGTAAATTTTATTCTCGTTCGCTACCGCGACGTAGTTTTGACTTCTCTTTTTCACGGTACAATGATAGGCGTCCATTTGGGGGAATATGAACTTTCCCTGATAAATACGATATATACGACTGGAAAAATTCCTTGAACTGTCAAAGAAAATCTTCTCAAAGGGACAGTATCGCGGTTGATTTGCATCGAGCCAACGCACTGTTGTCTTTAAAACTCGCGCCCGGGAGGAGAACAATAGGGCCACGCTGGTCGAAATTTCCATTTCACTGGCCTTCCCGGGAGGAAGGTGAGAACGAACCGCTCTGATCTCCACCGACGTCCTCATTATAACTCTAAAACAAACCCTCTGTTCCACGTGAATTTTGAACTAAAACGCAGAAAATGTATTTTGAGCAATATCTCCCGATCCTATCGGTAGAATCCTATAAAAAATACACCAATCGAAAAAGTAAACATCTGGCCGCCATCTTGAAAAAAAATGACGTGATTCTCTTGCGCCGTTATGGAATTATGGGAGAAAACATACTAGAAAATCGACGAAATAAGTTTAAAACTCACAGACAACAAAAATTCTACAAGAGAAATGGAATTTAAAGGTCCTAAAGTTTACAGTATGGATAAAACATATGTTTGATGCGTAAATTAGCGAAATGTAGCGGTAGGTTAAAGTTCAATGACCCAAAATGACCTTATGTACGCACATACAGTCGGCGGGAAATTTGAATTGCATTCTACGTTGTCATTTCTTATTTTATACATATTTCGGGAGCGAACTAATTTTTTTTGTGTGTGCGTGATTCTTTTTCTAACTTCATAATCGCATCGTGCGTTATATTGGGCAAAAGTTGTGTTGTTTATCTGAACACTGCCGCTGCTCACGACACACCGGGTTGTGGGCGGGGCCTATTTGCTTAGCAACGAGGATTTTAACATAGCAACGGGACCATCGTGCAGTCGAGCACAGGGCATGGAGGCGTGTCGGCTCGAGCTGTGGACGGTAACAGGAGTCCTCACTGGGGTCACAATTCCTGCACACACACGAACGAAGAAAAAGACCCATGGTGGTACGTCGATTTGGGACGTCATGTCACTGTCGACCACGTCACCATCGTCAACCGCCGTGACTGCAGTGAAAGGATCACACCATTCGACGTCCACGTCGGGTCCAGCACTGACGTGGCCAGAAACCGGAGGTGTGGCGGGCATCACCACTTCCCTCCGACTGAGACCGAGAAGGTTGTCAACTGCGGCGGGTTGGGGGGCAGGTACGTGGGCATCAGGCTGCCGGGGAGGAGGCGAATCCTGACGCTGTGCGAGGTGGAGGTATATGCATGTAAGTACCGTACATACTATATCCATGCCAGGCCCGCCTCTTGTGCGTGAGAAGCAACTACATATTATGCGAACCGTGGGCCTGGAATCAGAAGAAGGTGACCATGCCATGTATGATCATATTGTGTCTCGTCCAACTTTGCTGTGTAGTACTTTAAAAGATTGTGAACATACATGTACTTCAAGGGCCACTTGAATGCTGTGCAGAACAAATTATTCTACTTTGTAGCAGGTGGCCCCCATGGGAGAGTTTCTTTCAGCAAGGACAAAGCTTCCAAAGAAATAAGCGATAGCTCCGCAATTGTTTTTTTTTTCTTTAATATTATCCTGTTTTACTCTCAGCTCCAAACCTAGCGCTGGGAAAACCAACGTCCCAGTCGAATGTCGAACTTAACGGGTTTGCCTCCCGAGCGACTGACGGATGCAGGGACCCGTACTGGGGTAGCCAGTGCTGCACCCACACTCCAGCGGAGGCGGACCCTTGGCTGCAAGTGGACCTCGGCAGGTCGGTCAGAGTCCAGTGGGTGGTCATCATGAACCGCGCGGACTGTTGCCGAGAGCGACTCAACCCCTTCGCCGTCCACATTGGAAACAATGCGCGCGTAGTCCAGAACCCTCGCTGCGGCGGGCATCACACCATCCCCGCTGGTAAGGACAAGGATGCCATCAACTGTAACGGAATGAGAGGGCGATATGTGGGGATCCGACTGCCCGGCTATGGCCGTATCCTGACAGTCTGCGAAGTCGAAGTCTACGCCGGTATGTTAAGCAAACTTTCTTTTCAGTTTTTTTTTTTTTTTTTGTCATTATGACTCTTTCAAGTAATAAACTTCTATGCTGGATACTCTACAAGCTGGGGGTGGGGGGTGGTGGAAGTTGGAAGATCTGTTCTAACAGCTGCAGGGGTCAGCGATTGGTGGAACTCGATGTGATCAAAACATGCAATATCTTTAAGGGAATGCATAAGTTAACCCCTTCCTGTCAAGTTCTGCTACTTTAATGAAAATCATTTCGACTCTTTCGAAAGTCGAAAAGAGGCGAGAGAGAGAGAGAGAGAGAGAGAGAGAGAAAGAGATAAACACTGACTGACAGACAAACGTCAAACATTAAAACGTATTTTTTTTCTAGGTACGGTGACAAAGAGGACATCTGAAGTGCGGGAGACCGAGGAAAAGGGCTGCGGAGAACATGAGGTTAGGCCACAGCAAGTAATTTTCATAGACGACATGAGCTGATTTTGGAGAGAAAAAAAAAACAAGAACTCTTGTAGTCTTCTGGCAGTGGTCAACATGCAGAAAATGGTCAAATTTGTCTGTTGCCATCTGGAGCTTAGATGATGGATAAATATGAAGAGGCCTATATGGGTGACAAGACAAGGATCTGATTTATCATTCTGCCTTTTCTTTTATAATATAATTATTTTGATTAAATATAGTATTTCATTCCTTTTATATGTTAGCAAAACAATTTGTACAATGATTGAAAATGTTTTTGCATTGAGTGACAAATGGATGTTTTTTCAGTGACAAATGGATTTTGTTTCAGTGACAAATGGATGTTGTAATACTTGGCAGTAAACTTGGCACAGCTTAGGTATCGTTAAATAAAGTCATGTTGGATACATCAGTATGGACACATTTAAATTCATACTGGTTTATGACGTAGGACATGCATGGTAGCTTAAAGTTCAAAATACCAGTTGGTTTCTCTCTCTCTCTCTTCTCTCTCTCACTTTTATCTCTCTCTCACTCTCTTCTCTCTCCTCTCTCTCACTCTCTTCTCTCTCTCTCTCACCACTCTCTTCTCTCTCTCACTCTTCTCTCTCTCTCTCTCTTCTCTCACTCTCTTCTCTCTCTTCTCTCTCTCACCACTCTCTTCTCTCTCTCACTCTCTTCTCTCTCTCACACTCTCTCTCTTCTCTCTCTCTCACCACTCTCTTCTCTCTGTCTTCTCTCTCACCACTCTCTTCTCTTTCTCACTCTTCTCTCTCTCTCTCTCTCTCTCTCACTCTCTTCTCTCACTCTCTTCTCTCTCTTCTCTCTCTCACCACTCTTCTCTCTCTCTCTCTCTCTCTCTCTCTCTCATCCTTAAGTACTGTCTCCTGGATTTAATTCATGGCTGTGCAATGTTGTCATATTTACACAAATCAGCTGTTGCCAGCTCCTGAACTCAATTCCTGTCCATGATATTGATGCTTACCTACAGGAGGGGCAAAGCTGGGTGGGTGATGAGGAGGAACACAACTGCAACTGTGACGCCGGCGAAGAGTTCTGCTACAAGGTGGAGTGTGGGGATGATGGTGAAAAGAAACCCATCAAGGGCGAAGAAGGGATGTGGACCTGCGAGGAGACTGAAGAGACCGAGGAAACCGGTAATTCAAGATTTCGAACGATTCTTTAAACTATTACCAAAACATATGTGGATCAGCAAATGTCATCAGAGCCTTCTATGAGGTTTAACTGTGATTCTACAAACTATTACAGAAAGTAGTGGATAGGAAAATATCAGAGCCCCTTCAAACTTCTACTACCAAATATGTCTGTTTCTGTTAAGCACAGGTTATGGTGTTACGTAATTACAAGAAGAAATTAAGTTATAATATTATTAGTTTATGGTTCATAGACTTATTTGAAACCTTCCTTGCAGGTTTTTTCAAAGTTAAAGTATATCGTATGTCTTTTGTTTTCCAGCACGGGAGTTCCCGGAGAAAACCATGGAGAATGGGATGGAGGACTACAAGGAATAACTGGTGAGTGGGGATCGGTAGAAGCACGCTTAAATACTACTGCATGTAGTAGTTGTTTCAAGCATTGCCTGTTGATGATACACAGTTATGTAATGTTCATGATTTTCAAGTAGATTTGGAAATGTCCAATATCTAACGCAATGTATTTAGTGTACAAGTTTTGAATCAAGCTTATGACTTCTTGAAGCACATGTCGTCAGTAAGCTACAGCAGACTGCAATGCCATGTCAAGAGCCGCGGCAGAGTAGTTCATTAAAGTTTTGGTTTGTTCTTGGATGATCCATTCTTAGACCACTGTTGTTGTTTCTTCTCCATACTGTAGGCTGGAGTTGTGAAGATCTGGTCAAGAAACTGATGGACATGGAAGTCAACTCGGCGTCCCTTTCTTTTCACACGTTCTTAGCTTATTCTTTACTGGAAACTATCTAGTCTGTACCTCTTTTACGGAATTTTAGATATGGAATCTATCTGAAACTCTTTTGCTCATGTCCAATCTATTTTTCTTTTAGCAGTCGAGATCTTCTTTCTTTCCTCCCTTATGAATTATGGTCTTCTTTTCTGATCTCCTAAATTAGAGGCTGTTCCTTTGGTGCCAGCTGTGCATCTTATTCTAAATCTCTATAATCTATTTCATGACTATGCCGAGGTGCGATGTTACAACACAGACAATGTATGCTCATAAGCAGATATTATAAATTAGCGGTGTTGACAACAGTGAGGTTGAAAGGGACGTTCTTTTTTCAAACAAAAGGAAACGTTGGTTTTGATTCGTAGTGAAGGTCCCGGACTAAAGACGTCATCTAGGAAGAGCACAGGTCTTAACATGTGAGTTTCGTGGTGCAATGCTAAAGAAATTACAAACTATTTCAAAAATATCAAATCACTAAAATCTCTTAAATGAAAATGTGCAGAAGGTTAGGTAAATTGTGGTCAATATAATAACAATTACAGACTATATTGTTGATGTGACTTTCATTTCAACAGCCAATGGAAAGCTGGCATCTTATTTGACACGCCATTTGACATGCAATCCTAACTTGTCTTAGGCCAGCATAACACAAAACTCTCCCACAAGACAGAACAAACTGAAGGAATGAAAGGATAGAGAGGGGCAGTGATCTGCTGTCAATACCACAAAAAAAAACTTATAGTAGGTTTAGAGAGAAAATGGTCCTAATAAGAAAACTGCAGAGTAGTACATGTAGGAAGTGAAACCTATTTGGCAAAAGTAAAAATCTATGTTTGACGTGGTGGGGAAAAGATTGCGGACAAGGATTTAATCTCGAAATTCTACATACATCACATCAAAAAGACGTAACTCGAAAATATTAAATGTTCAAATACGGTCAAAATAGTCCATAATACAGTTTCAACTTCATTCCATTTTGTATGGAAAAATCGTTCTCTATTAATAACCTTATTTTTCACTTCCTCCATAGTACTTCTAAAAATCAAACTTTTACATAACAATCTGGTATGATTGCTACACTGCTACGAGCTTAAAATTAGCCAATTAGGTAGACCTACTTGAGGTAACAAAAGGTAGATTATTTTTGTTTTGGATTCAAAATTAACGAGAGGAATATATTTGGTGATTTTAGAACGTTCTCAATAACCTGTAGTACACATGTTAAACAAGAATAATTACAGTATACTCCTTCTTTATTTTTACATTATGTCAAAATACTAGTAGCTCCACCTCTATTCTTGCGGTAATATCAGTATATACCAGTAAATTCTCTATTCTTGCGGTATATCTATATACTAGTAATTCCTCCATTATATTATTTCAGTATATCTATATACTAGGAACTCCTCTATTCTTGTGGTATATCTATATACTACAAACTACTGTTCTATTCTTACAATATATCTAATATTCTTGCAACTCATCTTTTCTTGCAGAATATCTATATAGTAGTAACTCCACATCTATCCTTGAAATATGTCTGTATGCTTAGTAACTCCTCCTCTGTTCTTGGAATATATCTATATTTCTACTAGTAAACTTTAATTAGCAAAGGCAATATCTGCAATGCGATAATCAAGATAACAGTATAGTCTGCACGAATACATTGCTAAAGTACACGTGAATGGATTTATGGAATATGAAATGAATTGTTGTCACCAACTTGTATGGAATATACGTTCTAATGTGATCTATAAGACCATCCCTAGAACACGTGAAAAAGCTGGCAGGGACATTATGAGAAACATGGAGAATTGACACATACTGGATTCGATTATATTTACTGAATTTCAATGAACGCAACGTACTAGTATGTATCTGCATTTAGTATGGTGGCAATAAACATGCAGTTTGAGGACCAAATACCTGTTTTTCTGTTGTTGTTTTTTTTTTGTTCTTATCTAGGTTATTTGACTGCATGCAGAAGTACTAGAAGGAAAATAAAGACATTATCGTAAAAATAACCAAGAAGATACAGTAAAACTATCCAGATTTTTTCCATATATATACACATACACACACACACAGACGAGAGAGAAAGGAAGAGAAAGGAATAGATAAAGAAAAAGAGGGAATATCGAGCGACAGCCATGATATAATATCTAAAGGACATAATTTTTAAAAAAAAGTGTGCAGATCCCCCATTGTGGACGTCACCTTATATTTCAGTTATTATCCAATACAGTACAGATCATTTTAATCTCCCAACATGTTCAAGATTAAAACAGCAACAAAACTTTTTATCGCAACAAAGTTAGTCTGTTGTCTCTCCGATATCGTAGACCTTGTTTATCCCTCGGTTGAACAAACACACAGTTAATACGCTCAATCCCCATTTATCTATCGTCCTGGCCATTTGTTTATTTATTTGAATTTACCACAAGATATACAAGTGGAAAGGAGGACAAAACAGGTGCATTGACACCTTTACAAGTTGTCCTCCCAAACACAACATACAGAATATAAAAGCATAAAAGCCATGTAACTACAGACACATGTAGATTGTTCGTGCTGACATCCCATGCATGACATACCGAGTACTTTGAACTGACCCAAGTGACCTACCTTCCGGCTTTCCCTGGGGGGTAACTGTTACTGATTACGACACGCAAAACCGTCGATCAATGCCCCACACGTACCCATGCATGTATACACATACATACATACATACATACATACATACATACATACATACATACATACAAGGAAACATACGTACAGTATCTACCTAAGTGCACACACACACACGCACGCACACACACACACACACGCACGCACGCAGACCGAGGTCTATGAATATCCCCAAGAGAGACTATGACCCCGAGTAACTCTAAATTAAATTTTCCGGATAATTACTCCATTTAACATTAATAAAAGTTTTAAACAAGCCAAATTGTAAGGTTATTACGGCATAAAATGAAATATAAAAGGATTTGGATACTGTTCCAATATCGCCTAAATGTTCTATTTTACTTTTAATTATGAAAGTCGCTTCAAATGCGGTGAGTTCAATACGTAAGTCTAGCGAGATCAACCCACCGCCAGCGTATGAGGGAATCAGGTAGTGAGAACACCGTGGCGGCCGGGTCGTGTCCGCCGGGAGAAGAGGTGCCAGGCGCCGCAGACTGCCCCCTGCATGCACGCACCACGGGCCTCCACCCGTGCCGCCCGAGCAGCACGTCTAGGGCGAGGGGGGGCAATCGGTCCGTTTTTAATTGGGGGGGGGGGGGCTGTCAGTCTACTCTTCTCGAGCGGTGGCGCCGCGCTACCAAGTATACGCCAACAAATACTTTCAAGTTTTTAACAATTACCTAATAGGGCTTAATAAATATCCCTTGCCCTGCTGGCATTCCTGGCACAATATTTTTCAATAATTTCATGTCTTAATTAGATCATAGATCCCCCATTTTTTTGCCCAGAATGCGTTGCGTTTCGCTGCGGTGTGATGCGTAGCACAAGAAATACCCCCAAATCGTACCTATACAGAGTTCTACATAGATGTACTGTATGTGTAGAACAACAATTGTTGGGCTCCGCAGGACAAGGGTTTAAATATCACCAACTATTGACAAATACTCCGACGCAGTTGTTGGCGTCTGATTCATTGCTAACAATGTGTTGAAAAGAGTCACGTTGCTGGTAAATTCATAAAAAACTGTCAAGAGAAGGAAGTTTTGCTCGTGTGAAGTCTGGACATTTGCAGGTACACGCTCCATCCACACGGGGCTGGCGGCGGGGCGGCTGGCTCCATCCACACGGGGCTGGCGGGGCGGCCTGCAGGCTACATCCACACGGGGCTGGCGGGGCGGCCTGCAGGCTCCA